GTCAGGTTTTTACACACAGGCGTTTTGCCCTCTTCTTCCGTCCTGTTGAAAAATTACTAATATGCTATAATGCACCGCACGCAACAAGCACACGGGCAAGCACATTAAACGTGCCGATGAAAATATTAGTAAAAAAAAACAACTTCCTATCAAAACGTCAGTTAGAAAAGAAACAAAAGGTAACAAGAGACTTGAATTAAATTATTTCCTGTTAAAGCATGCAACACGGCCACAAACCTCGAAGTACATCGGGGAAGGACTTACGCCGCGCCATCTTTTGAATTTTATGTTTGTTCCCAGTAGCCGAAATAAACACGCGGTCGCCAAATGTTGCGCGCAACTTGGTGAAGTCGGGAAATGCAGGGTGGTAGGGTGTGAGGAGGGGGGGGAGGACCTGCGGGAAATGCTTCCTTTTTGCGGTTTTTGATTAGTTTAGCCTCGCAGACGTTTTTAGGGGAGATCTTCCCTAAAACGTTTGCGGGGAGGCTAGTGATAGCCGGAAAACCCTAGAAAAAATGGCCCAACCAAGCCCACCTGTCTCTGTCTTTTCCTTCCCTCTCGTCCGCGTGTGTCTCGCGCGTTGCTCGCGCCCCAAAACCCGTCTGACCACAGCGTTATACCTGCTAACTTCACGCCTTAGGCGTGAGTCTCACGCCTGCGGGTTGAAAACGTCGATCTCACGCCCGCTCACGCCTGCGGACCAATTTCTCACGCCTGATTGAAAATGAGTTGTTGCCGTCTTGCTTGACACAATTTCAAAAATATGTTAACTCAGACCCATGCAAGGAACGAAAACCATGTAAAATGAATAAATGACAATACCTTCCTCGCGATCTCTGATTTTTTTGATAAGCGTTTTCCTGATAACTTCGCCTTCGGCAGACTTCTTGGACGTCTTCGGAAGACTTTCGGACGTCTTCGGAATCTTCGGAAATGATCGTGTCGTTTTCAAAATCCCAGCACCCCAGGATAAAAATCTCACGCTCACATCTCAGAAAAAGTTGGCAGGTATACAGCGTGTCATGATTAGCTGGAGTCTTTGTTATCAATGTCTATCTGCAAGAAGTCTCCTCGCAGCCATTTTTGTCTCCTGAATGATAACCTGAGATCAGACTCCAGTTTTTCGTTTCGCTTTGTAATAACATTCCGGCGGGCAAACCGAAAAGAAAACAGAGCCTGATACAAACCTTCTACGAAACGTATGCCGCCCACTTTTTGATTGATTGACATTTGCCGAATCAGCCAACCAAAATTATTTGCGTTGCTTGTTTTTCTAGTATGCAAATTTTTCATGCGGGAAAAATGCAGACTGGCTGACTTAAAAATAGCTTTTATCTTTTGATTTTTTCACCTAAAAAAAAACAGTCAGCACAATCACAATTAACTTCTTCAGAGATTAAAGGAGATCTCAAAGGTTATTTCTGTTGGTGAGAGGTAAAAGCTTTCGAAAAGACAGCGACACGATGTTCTACTGTCTTGTTTTATTATTTTGGCTAGGCGCGCTCGAATTTAAAATACAGAAATTTCTATTTTTTCTGTTGCCTTAATATTTTCATGAATTAAAAATATGAATTTTCTGAATTTCCATGGCAGATATTGAGGCATATTTCCCTACCATAAGAACATAAAACAATAAAAAGACAGGAAAATCGATCCTTCTCTCCGCCGACAGCCAATCATTTACGAAAACAACCACGCGAGGAATAAGCGCTTTCAACTTCCGGCGTTTCCGACAGCCAATCAGATTTGTGGCATTGTTCCAACAGCCAATCAGTGTTACAGCCAAAATCTGGCCGCAACGAGCACAAACGTGAGAGAGTTTGTATCAGGCCCAATTTAAGCGGTAGCCGTTAGAGAATGTATGAGAACCGCTAAAATTGGGCCTGATTTCAGGTTACCTGAATGAAGGTTGCGGTAGTGCCAAGTAGTGCCAATTGAATATTTTATTTTATTAACTGGGCTGCCTGTGGCAAGCCTAGTTCATAAAATAATTTTCTCTAGGAGGGCGTGGGGCGGTATTCCCTAATTTGCTCAAGTTAATGAAGGGAAATCAGACACTAGCTCTATCAAGTTTGGAGTACCACAAGGGGTCAATCTTAGGACCCAAACTGTTCTCCTTTATGTCAATGACTTTCCTGAATCTGTAACCTCGGGAGAACTTTATATGTTTGCTGATGATACTACCATATTTACCATAAGTGATAATATTGATACTATAATTAAGGCCATGCAAGTTATACTAGATCAAGTTCTTAGTTGGTATGGTGCTAACAGATTGATTGCTCATGAAACTAAGTCAGAAGCCTTATTATTATCTAAACAAAGATTCATTGGTCCATTGTTGCCTTTGAAGTATGGTGAAAAATTCATTGAATTAAAATCATCATGTAAATGTCTAGGAGTAACTATAGACAGTAATCTTTTCTTGGCAAGAACACACTAAAAGTCTGTTAAAATCTTTTAATAAGAAAATAGCAGTCCTCAGAAGAATTAAATTCTTGCCATCATCCATTCTACAGACCATTTATTTTAGGACTGCACTTCCAAGTGTCTTATACGGAATACTAGTATGGGGTTCCTGCTCACCTGCACTAATGGATGATCTAATCTTGAGCGTGCTCATATACGAGCTTCTAAACTTATTTTTAAACTTTCAAGGAATTCAAATGCTGATCAATTAAACAAATTGAAAGGCTGGAACAATTTATCATTTTACTATACTAAGAGACTGTTAGTAGAAGCGTATAAATCCTACTATAGATGCAATACCAATGTTTTAAATGATCTAGTAATGTTAAAACAATCATCTCACTGCCTGAGGAAATCAATGAATATTGAATTTCCAAGTCCTAAATCAGAAATTGGCAGGCTGACTTTTAAGCATCGAGCTGCCATTGCTTGGAACTCGCTTCCTGATTCGATTAAAAAGTCTTCTAGCTTAAAATGTTTTAAAAAAAGACTTAGATCTAGCAAGGACTTAATTAATTCTAAGCTATAACAAGGAATCTTCCATGATAAGAAATATAGGAATGAGGAATTTCTTTATTAATCTTATTTATATTTGTATTGTTATTATTATTTATTATTTAACTTGTTGATTTTCTATTTATTCACATGTATATACTTTAGTTTTTTTAACAAGTAGATGGGCAGGTCCACATCAGGACTTCAGTCTTGCGTATTCTGTAACCTGCGTTACCAAATAAACTATGTATGTATGTATGTATGTATGTATGTATGTACAAGAAACCCAAATGATGTGAGGAAACCGTTGAAGACACAATGTTGTAAGGAAATACGTTGAAAAAACAGCTAGGGCTAAGCAAGACCGTGCAAAGTAAAGGGAGATGTCTTACGAAGAGCAATGCCTTCTGCTGAGGTGCCACTTAATCTGATCGCAAAACTTAACTATCCTTAGTTGAGTGTTACAAGAGATCCATGGCGTCCAGAATCGATCGTCTGGGTTTTAGCTCTGGCCAGCAATTTTTGGAAAATTTCAAGATCTTTCCGGCACGATTTCAAGGCGGTAAGATATTTCAAAATTAAGGTCTTGCAGGAAGGATTTTGAAAATTCAGGATCTTGCCGGTAAGATTAAGAAAAGTTCAAGCTCTTGAAAGCAAGATTTAAGGACTGGAGGCACAATTTCGTCATACTCAAATTGCGCTTTCGTTAGCTGACATAGCTTAAATTCGTCAAGGACCAAACGCTGTTCGCTAGTAAAATAGAAGAACACACCAAAACTGTCGCTTTTAGGGTGTTTTAGGAGAAATAATAAAGGATTATAAACGGAGGGGCTTATACCCGAGGGGGCTTTAATACATGTAATCGGAAAGGAAAAACGTTTCCAAACAAGCTACAGCAGTGCTAATCAAAGTACTTTTTGTATCAACTGGATTTTATAAAGATTTAAAATATAACTAAGGTTGGGAATCATTTTAGGGAACAACGCTTCGAAGTGAGCTGAAAAAAAAAAGGAAACAAACGACTATCGCACACAGTGAAAAGCCTTTATTTTACAAACGTCGATCGTTTTCTTTCAGAACAACACATAACACTGATCATCATGTAAAAATGTCTTGTTTCCAGTACTGATCATAATTCCAGACCTTAAGAAAAACAACAAGGGTTACTTTTAAAACCCGTGGCTGATTACATCAGTATAGTAGGAAATATAAGGCACCACATAAAAATTTTGGGTTCTCCCCGATCGACTCTCGTGTCCTGTCCGACTAAGTGATGGTGTGTGGTTTATACGGGTTTGGTACGACAAACAAACGACACTGAGAAGATTTTAAAGCCTTTTTGGGAATGTCAATTAAATTCTGGAAGAGCCAAATACGATGAACTGATCATGCGCCAACGACTTAGTGTTTTCTGTAAAATATCTGTTCGGAGAAGCAAATATTTCCTATAATATTCTCTTACTACTTAAAGACGGATAAACATTTCTAGATGACCGTCCTAATCAAGTACAATTTCCGAAGCTCAATTTATAAATTCCCTAAGTTTAATTTTTCACATTTCACTGCCGGCCAGGTTAGGCTTTTTTTCGTAGAAAAAGGAAACCTAAAATTTTAGGATTCAAAACTGTGACGAAGAGAGGGATCAGAAAAATTATCACTTTCGTGATACGTTAGCTTTCATCTAAGATTGTTGGATTACTAAATCCGAAGGCCTTGTAATTTCGAAAAAGATTCGATTTCCCCTAAGATGACCGAAAAGATGCAAATTTTTTAGAGTCTCTTTGAATGCATTTCTAGAGATCCAAAAGTACCCTGGATAGCCTAAAACGTGTTTCTAATGTATGTAGGAGGAATTCAAACCTTTGTTAAGTGCCCTTGTGAATTAAAGAGCTTAAGACCTAGTGACGACGAGGTTTTTTGAGACAAATCAATGACCACACCCTGCATTGTCGGGGATCGGAAGGAAAAAGCGCAGGTAAAACCTGAGCTTTTTGAACATTTTGTGTAAGGAGTCTGAGGAAACAAACCTTATTTTTTTAAGGTGGGCGGTCGAGTTCCAATGCCTCCAGTCTGTTCCAGTCAAAGCCGTGAAAGAAAGCATGACCTCTGATCCAGGGGTAATCGCCTCCTTTATACCCGAGACGGTCTTGCGGATATTTCTCTAGTAACTGAAAACATCCAAAAATGGATATGTCTTGTAATATCGGTATTTATTCTCAACTCAGAGATCTTTGTTTATTGATCATGAAATGCTACGTCTTTTATGCTACTTCGTAACAGAAGTTAACGTTGACCTAGTTTTAGTCTAGTCATATTTGTTTCTTCACTCATTCGAACATAAAAAAGATTTCTCTACCCTTCAATATACCTGAATCCTAAAAAGGAAACCCTTTCTGGCGAAGCCTTTCCGTATAATCCGTTATGGGGAGCAGTTACCCCGGGAGTAGGGGAGTCAATCTTTGGATTTTTTTTCGCTAAGTCTTGCCTCTATTGTTATCGACTGGCAATCAATAATTTGGGTACATGTAAAAATGAAGGGAATATAACCTTTCATGTATGATTTATGTATTTGACACTTACGTGTAAGAATAATTCAGTGGCGTCAATGGACAGCTCAGACATTGTTTTTGTCCGGTTTCTGTGGGTAGTCATATACGATCAAATCAAATAACTCATCCTCCGATTCAGCATCAAACGGCATCTAAAATGTAAACACAAAGGATAACATTGTCAACTAAGTAGGTTACCATCATCATAGTCTAAGTTCAGTTTCACCTTTTTTCGTGTTAAGAACAAAATAACTGAAATAACATTTGAAATACAAACCATTCCAGTGAGCATTGTAAACACCATGACTCCAAGAGCCCACCAATCCACGCATGCGTCGTATGGGTCCTGTAAAATAATCTGCAACAAATAACACCTTGCAATAAGCTAACATCAGCACGAGAAGATGTTATTTCCTGAAAACAAGCCGAAATTCTCCTAAGCGAAAGATCTTACTACAAGGTTTGTAATTTTTTCAACGAGTGGATCATGTCACGTATTGTTAGCTTTGTGGAAACTGAACATGCAGCTCTTCCTTCTTCCAGTGTAGGTAACATTAGTATATATGTTACAGGTCAAAATTATATTCACGTTAAATTTATTCAACGTAGGTTGATCCCTATTTCCTTTGTTTCCTAGCCCTAATTATTCATTGAATTAGGGCGAGATACAAAGAAAATTGAGATTTAACCAAGCTAGGTCAAAGCAAAATCCCGGTCTGGTCTGGAATCGAGTGTGGTTTTCGAAGGAACTGCAGCAGCGTAAGAACGTATTTATCGTTTCAATTCCAAATGCAATGAGTAAGAAAAGAAAGAGAATATGCGAATTCGAAATGAATGAAGAATTTGTTTGTTTGCGCTCACATCTAAGTTATTATAACATAATTTCCGCCTAAAGACCAGGTCTGAAAACGAGTAGGGATTTTGGAGGTCTGGTCTGAAAAACAGGAGCGGAAAATAACACTTTTACTCTGAAATCAGGTCAGGATTTGGAGAACAGGGCTGCACACCCCCACCAAGAATTTCCAGGAGTATCCCCCCCCCCTCCCCGGGATCAAAATTAACCTGAAACCAAATTTGACCTGTAACATATATATCTCGTACAAGAAAAACACCATATTTAAAAGCCCGTAGAAAGATTTGTTTTAGCGTTAATTATCAGCGCTGATTCAGTAAGTAAAAAAGCAGAAACTACCCTAACAGGATATAATTCAGCTGTCCTTGTTACAGCCCTATCAAATTTTTCAACGTATATTTTGGATGATGGTTCTGAAATGTGTCCTAGATCTGGGATAAAATAGATATTGACCAAGCAGCTACACGAGATACTGATTTAGACACTTGGTTCACAGGGCTTAAGGGGGGCATTATGGTTGTGTTTTTGGAAAAATGATGTTGATATAGGGTAGAATGGGTTAGTCTGCTAATGGGATCAGAGGCACCTTGTTATGGCGGTGGACTCTGGTAATTGTCTACTAATTGTTCACTTTATATTTTAGTTTTTAACAACCCCAAATCCAATATTTTCCCATCTCCCCAAAATTTTAAAACATCTTCCCCTAAATAATGCTTTTAACCATACTCGTCTCCCTTAACTAACGCTACAGTTCCATGGTTTACCTCAGGAGCCATGTAACGAGGTGTCCCGATAATTTCTGCGTTGTTAATCTTTTCCTGTTTAACTGGGTCGATGATAGCGGACAGTCCGAAATCGCTAATTTTGATGTCCCCTTTTTTTTGGTCAGCAAATGTTTTCAGGTTTCAAGTCACTGTCATACGATGAAAACAAATTACACAAATATTCAAGACACTGATTTATAAGTAAACTGAGCCAAAAGTGGTAAGACACAATCTTCGAGGAAAAGGGGCAAATAGCAGCATCATTCGTATAAAGTTAACTTTCTTCACCCATGCAAGGACTATACAGAACGCTGAGCCCGGTCACACTCTCCTCTGCAAAGGATCCTGCCGGGTATCCTGATAAAAATAGCAATAATCGAAAATAGAAAGCCCGCAGGGAACGATGGGAAGAGGGAAAAAGCGGAAGTGAGGCCTTTCTTCTCTCTTTCCCTTCCCATCGTCCCCCGCTCGCTTTCTGTTTCTCTCTCTCCAGTCCTCCCTACAATACCAAGAGGCCTCTGCGGAGGAGAGAGGCCCTGTCATGATAGACAATGATCTAGCAAACGATTACCTACTTTTTACAGTCATGTGATTTACGGCTGAGAAGGTCCGACGGTATAAATTCATTGTTTGTTTGTTTGTTTTTATCTTTGCCATATAAATACGCAAGGGATTGAAATCACCCACCAAGTGTGGATTTCAGCTACTTTTCATATTTGTACGCACCTGTGAATGACACCTTTTTGGTGCAAATATTGCAAGCCGGTGATGATTTCAGTTGTGTAAAACCTAAAACAAACGACGAGTAATAAGATGTTTTAGGTAAAACATGTTTGTATACTACGTTTCACTACTGAGCAAGATTAAATGACCTCCATGCACCATCTAGGTAGGTCACACTTAATTTTTGAAGATGAATCTTTAATATCCAAAGGTCTAAACGAAATTTAGGAATCTTAAATGGATGGAACTGTATCAACTTTAACTGTATTATAAGGATTAAAGGTTCCTCATATTATACACTTGCTCAAATTTTTGCTGAATTCCAATCATGGGTTTGGTTAAGCCTGGGAGGAGAAACAATATTTTGTCCTTAGTCTCATACACAGCCGTTTTTGTTTCGATGTTCACACAACAGGAACACGAAACAAACTGCGCAGCATACTACTTCCTCCATACTTCTGTTCCTCTAAAATATGTTGACTCCTTCACCAGACTAAAACGAACCCATTCAATTGATTGGTATGGAATTGAAAAAATAATAAACAAGTGTAAAATATAAGGAGCCCATACCACTGACAATAAAAACTGACCACATTTTCGTCCATTTAAGGTTCCAAAAATGTGTTTAGACCTCTGGTCAAATTCATCTATGGAAGTTAGGCGTGGTCCACAGGGGTAGTCCATGGACCGGGTCCACGAAGCGGTCCATCGACTTGGTCCATAGGTGGTACATTTGTGTACGTCCGCGTATGTGAGGTGAAGGCCTGAAGTTTCCATCACTTACTTTGACAGAATTATTTTGTTTACTGGTTTTTGCATCCTCAGTTCAATTTTAAGGTTACATGTATTGAGTAGAACGCAAATTGATAGAACCAGTCGTTATTAAAAGATGAGTAGGTCAAGAATAATTTACGATGATTTCGAGCCAGTACTAATGGAACGTGTCTTACTGAAGTGTTATTAAGTATTCGGTTTAAAAGCAAAACCTGACCAAATGTGTTAAATTCTGTCCTATTGTCTTTCATTGTCACGTTATAGACTGTTTTATTAACAGTTGCTCGGTATGATTACCTAGTTCGATTTTCGCTGAGCCATCCATTCTCATCCAATTCAGTGAAAAGGTCTCCTCCTTCAACGAACTCTAGTATAATGAAATGACCAGGGTACTATAATATGAAAATGCAAAGAAGCTGTTAGTTGACCCATAACATACTATTTTCTTTTTGGGTTATAGTGAACAAAATTGAGAAAGATAATAAGGCACAGAGAGAAACGTCCAGTGGAGCATATAAAGGTAAAGGTAAAGGCGCACACGACCCAAAGACCCACACGGTCGGAGCTTATACCGGTTTCCGTAGCATGAAGCAAGCCTAGAGTATTGCTACTCCCCTGGACGGGATGCTAGTCCATGGCAGGGTTCCCCCAGCGGTATGTTGCCGGTACCCATTCATACACCTGGGTGAAGAGAGACAAAGTAAACTAAAGTTCCTCAGTTGTCTTGGGAAATTACGCGACTGGCGAGGCTTGAACCCCGGACCTTCAGAAAAAGAGTTTGAGGAATTAAACGCTCGGCCACAAACGCCCCACTCAAGTCTTACACCACAGGTATAATTCACAATCTTTCGAAGGTTTGTAGTCCCCTGTTTTCCTGCAAGTTTGTCAAGATGTCGGTATGCTTTAAATGTAATTGGCCGGCCATTTTTTCCACATGGGCGGACGGGCGGGAGTGGGAGTTTAACGCGGAGGTACAAGAAGTAAAAATGTTTTGTACAATTTTTAAAAGTATCATACCGGATTCTTAACCTCTTCACAAAGCCTTGTTAAGAAAGGACTGGACGAGGCTAAGCTCAATACTTTCTCTTCCACACTGCTTGGGTCAGGTTCAATTATCTGCTTAACCGCGTATTGCCTCTTGGTGCGACGGTTCTCACAAAGACGAACCTATAAAAACGTTGACAGATATTTTGGAATAGGACACGCTTTCAGATGGAGCGGTTGATAGGCGGGGTATTAAAACCGGCCTTTTTTAGTTCAAACGCAGTGCGTTTCCAAAGAACTTCAAGTTACTTCCTTACTCGAAAAATAGCCCCAGATATCATCCACTTGTTGGAGAAAGAAGGAATTACACAGTGTGTATATCATATTCACCTTTGATCGCTTATTTGTTAATTAAATGGGCGTACACTTAGCAAAATCGAAAGAAAACAAAGCATTTCAACTTCTTTAACGGAGTTTTGAAATTAATAAATAGATAATTACTTATTTAATTAATTGATCAACTAATTGATAAATCGCTCGTTTTTTGACCACGAGATACTCGCCACTGTAGGGCGGTGATCCGCCGAAAGTTACTCTAAATTTTGTGAAAATTAATATTACGAAATATTTGTGATTATTGTTTGATCCTTATAACAGTCTCTCACCTTTCCAAACGCTCCCTCACCAATCATCTTGATGGCTTGAAGATTATACAGTGAGATCGACTTTCTTTGTTTCTTTGTCTTAATGTCCTCTAACTGCTCTTCTGATCTTCTACGTTTAACGGGGCACTAGTCAATCAAGAGGAATAAAATAAGTTATAATCAGACTATGAAATGAGTATTGAACACGACTTGGCATTTCACTATATATAACTTGAAAGTGTGTAGTTTTATAAAGTGAAACTTCAAAATGGGAGAGAATAGATTTATAACTGATATCGACTGCTTTCATAATTATTTTATTTACTTTCTTGCATTTTATTTGTTTACATGGACCGTCAAGTTCCAGAAACCTCATAAATATTAAAGAAAAAAATCAATATTTCTAAGCCTCATTCAAGACAGGCCCACACACAGTCAATAATCCAATAAGGGAGTTAATGAATGGGACAAAAACTTGTTTTCAAGAATAACTTAAAGTGGGTTGTTCATAACATGCAGTAAACATAAGCTTACTTTTTGACTTTCCTGTTCTATTTTCACTGGCGCTTTTCCGTTAATTCTTGAATTTTAATTTCACCTGTTGCAACTTCTCTGATAATAAAAACAGACACAACACAATTAGCTACAGATCATATTTCATTTAAAATAGCTTTAAGTTTCAAATACAAAATTTGATGCACTAGAAATGTCTTGTAATCTCACTGACAAAGTAAAAACCCTGGAAATTTAATTCGGTTATCAGTTACTTGCTTGCGCGAGGCAGCACGCGCGCGCACCTTTTTCACGCCAGAGCTAGCCTCGTCCCTAAGTCAGTTCGCGCTATCCAAATAAAACGAGGAGGCTTGGAACAGAGCGCGATCTTCTGACGACTGGGAACGAGTCTGCGTCTTAGCTGCTGACCAACATGAAGGCAGGCTCTTAGAACCACTGCGTTCCTTTAGGTCAGCAGTAAGATTATTACAAACGGTTGCCATGGACGATTTGTTTTGTTTTCGAAAACAGACAACTTACAGTAAATATCAAAAAGTAAAAAATTACGAAAGTTACACAACCTTTTGACATAAAAAACAAGTTTCAAAATACTGCTTCAGGAAAAGTTCTCCTTCTTGTGTTTAAACGTTTTAGTAGCTTGTCCTCCTTGCATTATCCTTTTATTGAAACTAATCAAAAGGCGCCTCATTTCAGTTGGCCTTGAAACTGCTTTTAACTCTAACCGCGAAAACAGGATTCTTTGTCGTCAAAAGAAAAGCGAGAAGATACTTTCTTACCTTTTCCACTACATTTTCCTTTAAAATACTGAAAAACGCTTTGTAACATATAAAAGGAAAAAACGAAGGGCCCTATAACTGGACCGGCCTTCATTGCTGATCTGTACGTAGCATTCAACGAAAGATCTGCATACTGAAAGATCCAACTCTGTTCTTTGAAATGGCGTCATAATAGACATTTACCGTGCGCGAGCAAAAGAACTTGTCCCAAAGCTGACGCACAGAAAACGTTTACTTCATTTTGTGAGTGTTGTTATTACTTAAGGTCTTAAGTTTTTTCCCCAAAAATCTCTTCTTACCTGTGTCTTGTAATCTCATTGACAAAGTGTACAGGTCTTATGCATAGCAGAGGGGAGGTGAGGTATGGCAGTGCGTCTTGTTTTCAGCAGTCTCTAGGCACTCTGCCGCTGAGGACTTTTCTTTATGAGCACGATCTCTTGCAGAACATTCTTGGCAGCGGGGAGCGATGGGAGGGCGGTTGTTTCCGGTCACGCTTGCGAGTAACAGCTGTTTGCCTCTTGTCTGTGGGAAGTTTTGGATCGAGTGATTTCTGATTTATAGTCATCTTCCTTGATAGCGGACGCTGTAGGGACCTCGA